TATCCTAAAACTAGAGTTTCGTGAACTTAACCACAGATTGTAGCCTAGCACACTTACATAACCAATACTAAAAATTCAAGTCTTGTTTTCGCGTCTTTTTTCTTCTTCGAGTTCCTTAACATCAAAACACTGTAGAAACATGAAATTGTCCCAAAAAGATACAAATATTTGTTTTTTCTGTACTCATTCAGGACTTAGAATACATTGTTCAAACAGGTACTAGTGAACTTTTCATAACAGGAAAAATATAAAATAATTCTAACAAATAGGTTCGAACCGAGATTATCCCGAGATGAATTAGCTATTTTAATGCGTGGATTGTTTAGCTGTTTTGATTTGTTTTAACTTAAAACATACGAGTTGTTATTGTTTAATAATTTGTGTAATTCCAACTGGTCGTAATGTATAATGGAATATTTAAACACTTGTACACGAAACAGAAAACAAAAGTAGAAGTAATGGAAACTTTAACGAGGTTTTATAAAATTATTTCATTCAAAGAATTGTTTCAGAAGACGAAACACTTTGTTCATTTGTTATGGATTTCGCGCAAAGCTACACGAGGACTTTCTGGATATCAAGGATATGTCGGTTTATGACATCTGAAGATCACCTTGGTTGTCAAGGATATGTCGGTTTATGACATCTGAAGATCACCTTGGTTGTCAAGGATATGTCGGTTTATGACATCTGAAGATCACCTTGGTTGTCAAGGATATGTCGGTTTAAGACATCTGAAGAGCACCTTGGCTGTCAAGGGTATGTCGGTTTATGGTATGTGAAGAGCACCTTGGCTGTCAATGTTATGTCGGTTTATGGTACCTCATGGTTATTGTAGGTATTATTTAAGTTTCGTGTTCCAGAATTACTATTTTTGAAGATACGGCTGTTTAAGGAACACTACAGTCGTTATAGCTCCAGCAAAGAATAGTATTTGGTCCGGTATTGTGTTCTTTAAACAGTCAGGAATACGAGACTAATTATTGTTTATCATTAAACGTTGTAATAACAAGTGATCTTTAAACAGTCAGGAATACGGGAATTATTGTTTATCATTGGACGTTGTAACTCCTCGTGTTCTTTAAACAGTCAGGAATACGAGACTAATTATTGTTTATCATTAAACGTTGTAATAACAAGTGATCTTTAAACAGTCATGAAGGAGTTACAACGTCCAATGATAAACAATAATTCCCGTATTTTTGACTGTTTAAAGAACACAAGGACTTACAACGTCCAACGATAAACAATAATTCCCGTATTCCTGACTGTTTAAAGAACACAACGAGTTACAACGTCCAATGATAAACAATAATTCCCGTATTTTTGACTGTTTAAAAGAGCACTAGTCGTTATAACGTTTAATAGTAAACAATATTTCATCTCGTTGTCCTGGTGACCAACAACTCTAAATATTAAACAGATTTCCATCCTTAGTATGTTATAGGATATTTTTGTCATGTTTTAATAGCAGACACCACCATCGATTTTTATGTGGCGTTATATGACCGCACGTTGTATATGGGCAGAAAAGTAGTTGTCCAAAGATAGCGGCTTGCGAGGTGATTTCTGATAAACACTGGTAACGAACTGATTGTTTGTTACCCAAGGAACATTAGGCTTTAGTGTGAATTAGGGGAGTAACAAAGTGACAGAAATTAATCTCTAACTCAAAGATCTTGTTAATTAACCTTTATGTCCGAAATAGAAAAATTTGTAATGTTAAGTTCTAAGAATATCTTACCCTCGAATGTGACCAATTAAATTCAAACCAAACAAGGGCTCTTCCATAATTGGAATTTCATCAGATTAATTTTATGTCAGTACAAATAAATGAGGCGGAGAGTCTTTTCTGTTACTACAATAATAACAAGGACTCAATATTCTTGTTCAACAATATGTTATATTGGAGTAATGCTGGTGTTCTTTATTGTTGTAATTATATACATAGTAAGTTTAAAAAATAGGCATGATCATGTAATCAAGATGAATGTCGTTAAGAGGGGAAAATTCTTAAACTTGTCGACAGAAGCTTCGAGAATATTTAATATTAAGCTATATAACAGCTGTTATGACGTAGCTAGTACCTGAAGAAAGCTTAATGCCGAAAATTTGTGCTACTAATAAATCAGTTTTTATCACCGAATCTTTATCTTGAACTGTACTATCAGAAAGGTACTACATAATTTAAAAGGTTATTAATCTATCTAAGTTTGTCAGTGTTATAATCCAGTTTCATAATACGATTAGTGGCAGAATCAGTATAAGTTAGAATCCTGACTGGCTGCAGTTCAAAATTAACGCTGGCCAGAAATAGCCTCAGTAACTTAGTCATAAATACAAATTTGGTCAAACAACAGTCTTTCATTCCAGTATCAAACTTAACAGAGCTTTTACTTGAAACATTATTAAATAAAACAAGTTTTCTTTCCAGGATATGTTTAAAAAACTGTTTAGTAAAACAGTAACAAGTCAAGTGTTTACTCAATTACCACAATAATTAAACACACTTATCATATAGTTATAAGCTTGCATTTTAATGTTGTAATTTGTTTGCTAGGGAGAGCTACGGAGCATAATGATTACTTTAAGTGTACAATTCACCCAGCTCTAGTAATTATTACTGACTTAAGAGGGCAGCACTAATGCATTTAAATTCCCCTCTGGCTGGTAATTTGATTTGGTTAGAAACGAAAAGTTGGTAGATTTTTCAGGAATTATCTTGTAATGAAAATCTGGTGTATTGTGACCAATGAAATTTAGTTCTAGGTCAAACCACACAAGGGCTCTTTCATAGTTGGTCGGTCAAAAATCACTTTCACATAGTAATGTGATGTTAATAATTGTGCAAATAAAATGTGTTCATCTAAGAGTCTATAAATGTCATTGGTTTGATTAATAAACCAACTATCCAATGGTAATAAATAATCTATTCTGTTTGGTTGACAACTGTTGATCACATGCAACTCTTAGGTTTTGGTGTATACAAGATATGTAAATAAAGACATAAAAACGAGATTATCTTGCCACATGAAACAGGATGGTTTTCTTTTCAACATATATCTCTGGATTATTTTTGACAATTATACATTAAAATATAAACAAGGAAAGCCACAGAATACTGTAACAGCTAGACGTCATATTTAGTGCTGAGGGCCACAAGTTTGAATCCCCATCACTGAACACGCTCATCACATATGGTTGCCGACTGTGCAAAAAATTAAACAAGCTTGTAGAGTAAGCTATTCTGTGTGTGTTTATGCATTTGAATTTGGAAATTGTGCCTTTTGAGTTACTTTATACATGAAATACTAATCTTATAATGCATGTGCATGACCTACTACATTAAAAAATCATTTAAGTAAGCCTAACAAAATATGTCATCACTCCCTTTAGATAAACCAGCCCAGTTCATATTTCTTGTGTTTAGAGTTAGTTAAAATATAGTCTGGTGATAAGGGTTGGCAGCCCACAGATATATTCATTGTGTTTATAGTTAGATGAAATATAGTCTGGTGACAAGGGTTGGCAGCCCACAGTTATTCATTGTGTTTAGAGTTAGATAAAATATAGTCTGGTGACAAGGGTTGGCAGCACACAGATATATTCATTGTGTTTATAGTTAGATAAAATATAGTCTGGTGACAAGGGTTGGCAGCCCACAGATATATTCATTGTGTTTAGAGTTAGATAAAATATAGTCTGGTGACAAGGGTTGG